CTCAATTGTTATATCACTGATTACATTACATTCACAAGACGATTTAAACGTCCCATAATATTATACACATTAGAGGTCACTCATTAAAGATTCGAGGCCGATGATGAGGATTAACACACGGGAATTTTCCCCTGGACACACACCATGGCCGCGCACCAGGTCACACCCGTCGAACCATTATTCACATAAATTTACCACCTTTTTAACGGTGGTCCCGTAAATCCCGTTTCCCCTCACTCATCACCAGAACAGTTATCGACACTTTCGATTATAAGTGAGGCCCCATATTAATCCTTAGGAAGGCCGCCGTGAAACGCCAATTCCTGGTTCCATGCTTTCCCACCTCCTCCCTACCTTCAAAAAACTCCCGCTTCCCCATGGCCCGAGTCGACCTTCTTCCCCCGCACATCTGGCGATGCGCAAAGGAACCTTGGTTCTATACTATTGTCAATATTTTTTGACTCATATCGACACATTAAACACCTATTAGGCATCTATAGTTTTTTCGGAAAATAAAAAATATTTTCCACAGCACCCTCAATTACGGCACTACTACTTAACTGTGGACTGTATAGATTATATTAGTTTAACTGAATGAAGTGGTGGGTGGTAGGTTTAACACAGGATACAGCCGTCAAGGAAAAACATTTTACATAAGCCCACCACTTACCAGATTGCCTGGTGGGCACTTGATGTAGCTGGATCACCCATAACCTATCCAATTACAACATACCTAACTGGCCAGTAATCAGTCGGCTATAACTAGAAAAGGTTACTTAAGCTGTGGGTGATTGATGCTCCTTATTTCCTCTCCATTCACCATCTCATTTTCAATATCCTGCTACAACAACACGGTTCATATCCATCAGACATGAGGTATCCATTGGTTTGTCCCGGTTAAGAAGTCGTGACTCCAAAAACTCACTATCCTGGACGGGAACCACGTTTTCACATCGGAGCATGGTGACTTATTTTCACTTCCCCGCATTTTTCCTTAACTTAATGTTCTTATCACTGATTACATTACTATTTCACAAGACGATAACATCTCTAATTAATATACACATTATCGTCACATCCATTAAGATTCTGAGACCGATGAGTGATTGAATTAAATTTTCACGGGTATTTTCCCCGGACACCCATGGCGGCACGCCAGTCCCCATCTGGTCATACCCTAATTCACTAATTTTACCACTTATTACGGTGGACCCAAATTCCATTCCCTCACTCTTCAACCAGGAACAGTCACGAACACTTCCCTTATTATGAATGAGCCTAATTAATCCTTAGGCCGCCGTGAAAGCCAATTTCCTGCCCCGTATTTTTTGCACTGCCGTCCTCACTACCTTCAATACACTCCTGCCTCTCCATCCTCTGACTGTACGACCTGTCCCCCCCCGCACAATCTGCCAGGCCAAGGCAAACCCTGTTGGTTCTATTCAAAATACAATTTAGAACATCATAATGCATTAATCATGTATATTTACATATAAATACATATATACGTATAATTAAGGGAATTAATTTCCTCACTGCGGCCGGCGGAGTCGTAGTTAGCGACTTAAACTAACGTGGAGTACAATTATCCCATCTTCACTGGCCACCTTGCATGGAACTCCAACACTGGTATTTACATAATCAACCCATTAATTCTTTCACCTGTTTAACTTATCCTCAGGTAGGTTCCATCCCAAGCACACTCAGGCCTCCATCTCTGGTATTAACAGTTTCGCTCTTATTGTAAGGTAGACCTAAGCCTATGCTCAGCTGGGTTAATTATTGGGCATACTGGAATTATGATACTTTAACAAAAACAATCTCTCTCCTATGTCCCAAGACAGCCTCCAGCACTTACTGCAAATATAGGCCCTTCACCACCATGTGCCATCCATTTTAATGATCCTCAAATGGACTAATTACTGTTCATTCCCTCAGGGGCATAAGCCTATGCTCCCTGGTTAATCCATTGGGCATAAGAATTATGAGCACATAAACAATAACAATCTCCTCGTCAGTGTCCCAAGTTCAGCCCCAGCACATTACAGCATTAAAGGGACACTTTCAACTCCAGGGCTATCTATATTAATTGAATCCTCAAAATGACTAATTACTGTTCCATTCCCCCTCATGGGTCATCCTTGCACCTATGAATTATTTCATTTACCCCTTCACATATCCTCAGTAGTTACCTCTTCAGTTGACGTCACACCAACCCGGAAATTCCCACAAATGATTGTTTACACTACTACCATTACGGGGTGGGGGGGGGGGGGCGGGGGAGGGGGGGTATACGTGGGGGGGGGAGGGGGTGGACCACCTGTGCACTTAAGGTGTCATTTATTCGTCGCCTGAAGTAAGAACAAATTTATTATTTAAACTGTTTATATTAATGGCTGTTATAAGCAGTCACAATTTTGGTGTCTTGCTCCGTTCGCAGAGCGGGCCCGTTTTAAAACTGTCCCAAGACCCATCTATAATTAGTAGATAATTCTGGACGGTTGACTTCCACGGAAGTCCGCACCCAGTAATGTCCAATTCAAATTTAAGCATCCTTCAGGATTGTTCTTGAGATAAAAGGAATCATTTGGAGCTTTCCCTCATTTATATTAATTAATACCCATGCTGTCCACTCCCACAAATTAGACTGGTTCAACATCATTCTCGATAGAAGAATACTTGTACTGGGTTGACCTTTTATGAGTAAGACACCGTGACTGTATTTACTACTTCCTCTAGTCATTATTACTAGCGGTATTTGCCATATATTACATGGCCCGTATCAATGTTGAGGAGAGTGACGCCGCATGGTTTTGGATTTATGCCCTTTATCCTGAATTATTACATCCAACACCGGCAAGGCTACCTCAGCTAGGCCATCATTATTGCCATTAGCTGCAACCTTTACATCAGTCACTGTAGTGTCAGGGTTATTAACATTATCATTATTGTCACCATTATTATAAGACTTACATACAACTCTGCACATAACTGTATGGTGCCTTCTCTTGTTGCATTGATAGCAACTGTTCCATTTGGTATGACAATCCTTTACATTATGATTGTCTAGACATCGATAAATCTGTCAATTCTTTCATTCTTTCCACTTTAATATCCCATGAATTATAGGCATTACAGTTCTTAGTGAAATGAGTACCCTGGCAGAAGAGACTCTCTCTTTTCCTTGCCTGACCTCTTATTAACTGGGTTACCCTTACTGAGGTATTTATTCCTCTTACCTTGATGAGGAACCACTATTACTGATTCCTGTCACTTGATATGTGCCTATTTAACTCTTAATTATGGTTATTACCACTGAGATTATTTTTTCCTTTTGAGACTTGACAGATACTTCAGAGTCATTATGTGTTATATCCTTAGAACTGTTTGGCTGACTGGTCTGAAATTGAGCAATTAATTCTGCCGACCTATCTGATTCCCTCCAGACCGTACTCTGGAGATTTTGGCAAACACACCCTTTGCATTAATAGGTTGATCAACCTGCGGCTTACACCCTTTAATTTATTCAAAGCCTTACTTTTACAAGACAGTTTTTCTTCCAATCGTAATGTTGATTAATTAAAACATTAATTTCCATTCCATCTGCACAATTCTCCAGCCGATCTCTTTCACAGTCTTTAAACCACAATTTGTACCACTCAAATCTACTCTCTAAAGCATCTAAGTATAACTTTAATTCATTAGGGTTCACGGTTTCTTGATTCATTAAATAGTAGCACTTGTATGCCTTCGTCACATGGCCTTTAATAGCCTGTAATGATGCTTTCATTACTCTAAAATTCACGGACTTATCAGCCACATTAACTCCATCAGATCCAGTCATGGTTAGAGAATTATTAATCACTGATTATACAACTTAAGTAGGCTCCTTATAAGGGTAATTCTTGCACTTTTCTCTTGTATAAATCTTAGCCACACATGTGCTAGCAATTAATTGGGCTAATTATCATCCACCACTCGATCGATTAAATTTGTGAACCCTATACCCACTTTCTTCAATCAGTCACTTAATTATTAAGAAATTAATTCAATTAATTT